CGTGTGTAGAAATAAATAAAAAAAACAAAAAAACTAAATTCCGATGGTTGATGGCAAGGATTTTCTTTCTGGCATTCATCCCGTGGAAATGCTTTTTTTTTCTGTTTGCTATATGCCTAGGGTTGCCATGATCCTTATTTCCTGAATGTTATGGAAACACAGCTTGCAAAAATAGAAGCTAAGAGTTCCTAAGTTCAAAGCATCATCCATTCTTAGACAGGTAGAATGCATGGTACAGAAAAAGAACAAGTGACTGAAGTCCTTCTAAGAAACACCATTAATTGTATGTTGAATCCAACTACAATGGATTATGAAGTGCTCATAATAAAGGTTAATTGGAAGGACTTTCTAACTGCACTGTTCCATGGACAGTATTAGGAACTCATTGATTAATTCCTACTAATTGCCTGGAGTTACTCAATTAATCAATCAGCTGGTTAACTACTCTCTCATCTCCTCTCAGCATCTGTTCTTTCTGCTCATAAACACCTCTTTTTAAAGGCTCAATAGCTTACATAGTCCTGTTTATTTCATTCTTTTTTTTTTTTTTTTTTACAGAAGCCACAGCAGAGAATTTGTAAAAGGTGGTTTAAAGTGGAACATAAAGTGTCCCTTCATTCTTTTTGCCATTTACCAAATAAAAATACTTTTTTTTCAAGTTAGTGTTGCAGTTTGTGTCCTTGTTAGAGAGATTTTCTTTTTCATTTTCCTACAAAACAGGAAAGGATGGGGCAATTCCCTACTGGGACACTAATAGAGGTTGTAACCCTTCCCCACTCCATCCAGATTAATAAACAGATGGTTGGAGATCCAGTTTAAGATAGATGAACCAATGTACATAACATGGTACTAAATGGCACTAATTTCCTTTATAGCATTGGTTACATTTTTAATGAAAAATGTTTCTATTTATTAAGTGAATACATAGTGTTGAGGAATTTTAAAGTGGGGACATTATAATTTTTTAATTTGTAAAAAAAAAAAAATCAACGTTAAAGGTTTTTTTTCCAATCCTCATCATTAACGTTAGTAAAATGTCATGTTAAATTTGACCTGGGAAATTCAGTATTACATCCAATATTGTTAATATTCCCTCTGATACTATAATTAGCTGAAAAAAGTTCTTTGGTTTTGTACTATACTAGTAATATATACTGTATGCAATTTATACAACCAGAATTAGTAGTAAGGTAAAAAAATAATCCCCAGAATCACAAGATTTAAATAATGTTTTCCTTTTTTGGAAAAATGGCAGTTCAAAAGCAAAATTAAAATGTTTTTGGGCAATGGGCTTTAAGTAGCTCCTGAGCATTACAGAACCCTTCTTCAATTTTGAACAAGTTCTTGTACCACCAAAGGCCCCTTATTAGCCACATTATTCTAAAAAAAGTGAAATAAAATATCTAAAAAGGCTGTATACAAATAGTGATAAAATACACAAACATGTTTAAAATTATATTACATTAAATATCTATCTATCTATCTATCTATCTATCTATCTATCTATCTATCTATCTATATCTATCTATCTATCTATCCAGTACATACTGAATGGTGGCACTGCATATATATATCAGGGGTCTCCAAACTATGGCCCTCCAGGTGTTGAGGAACTGCAAGTCCCATGAGGCCTTGCAAGACTCTGACAGCCACATGCAAGACTCCCAGAGGCAGAGGCATAATGGGACTTGTAGTACTTCAACAGCTGGAGGGCCATAGTTTGGAGACCACTGATATATATTATTATATCAGTTGGAGACAGTAGTTTTCTAGCAAGTAATATGATATTAAAGGGTCCTTCTTCCTGTGTTACCGTTGGCCAGGTTGAAAAGAGTGACAGACTGGCTGTTATTCAACCCTAGAGTGAAGTGGTGAGCATGCAGAGGAAAAGCACTGGAGACAAGGTGGGTATTGTAGCAAGAGAGTGAAAGCTGCATTTTTAATTTTAAAAGGAAACAAAAACAAGGAAATCCAGAGTTTTGCTTTGAGGGTTTGTACAAGGATTAGGATAAGGATTTATAAAATATATATATATAAATGCAAATGTAAATAAAAAAAAATTAAGAAATATTTTGTAAACTTTCAAAAAAACAAACAAAAACTACCAACGTCCACTGATCCCTGCTATATCAGTTTTGGATGGATTTGCACTTTAGTTCACAAAGTGTTTCCATCGTACAGCTAGATAGAATCTTCTACCACATTGAACATTCATCACAACTGGAGCATGTTCGATGCAGCAAACACAATTCATTGCTCAATAGCTAGTTAATTTGCTCTAGAAGTTAAACAGTAGCTGAATTTGTAATTCATTGAAAAAAAGTGCTGTGAAAATTTTAAACATATGATTAAAATCTCTATTTACATTTAGTTCTATTGTCCATTCAACACTGACAGCTTTTTCTTTCTTACCAAACTTGGCTTGTTCTGAGATTTTCTGACAACAAAACAGGATTTTGACATTTAGACTTGAATCTTTTCTTGAAATTGTCTATTTTACATATGAAAAAAAGCATATTTTTACATTTGGGTTATTAACTTGTGCAGCTGTGGTGACATGATACGACAAAACAAACTATACAAGGCAAGATTGTAACATACTTGTAATTTTGGGTAAAATGAGAAAAAGTTTTATCTTGAAATAGCATAAAACAATTATTCAGTTGATGTTTCAACAGGAAAAAGAAATATTGTTTATCAACTTTACTTAAAGCAGACCTTATATATGCAGAAGACATGCTGACCCAACAAAAGGCTAGAGAGCTGACTCTGTAACCCCTTACTAAACAAAAGCATTATGATTGGTCACTTTTGCCCCAAATATTGCATATTTTAGCAAAATATATCCCCACTAGTACAGGTTTAAACTGGACAGCCTGGTTTTTGCCAAAGCTGTCCCATTATTTGATTGCTAGGCAGGTTTGGGTACTCTACATTGTAAACCACCCCACCCCTGTGCCCACTTTGACTAGTTTAATTGCAGGACTGTCAGTTTGATAGCTGCTTCTGCTCTGTGTCCAGGAGTGTATCAGTTCTTGTGATTTAGACTGCACAAATAGTTTCATGCATAGAGATATTGTTACTAAGGATGAGCAGAGTGATTTTGGCAAATTCCATTTTTGGCAAAATTAAAAATAATGTTTCAATTCACTGTACTGTATAGATAAAATTTGCATGAAACATAGCAACTCTTTTTTTCTTTATTTAGAGCTTTTTTAATATATATTTAGATTTTTTTAGCATTTTTGAACAGGGACAATTCACTAAGCGGTATCTTATTGCATCTGAGAATGCGGTAAGATACTGCACAGCTACTAATGTTATGTTATTAAGTCATGTGGTATTTTAATTGTGAAAACATTCTTTACTGTTTCAGCTGTCAGTGGGGTTCCCTGCTGACAGCTGAATGTAAAAAGAATTGCTGGCATAATTTTTTTTTGAAATGGCATGGGGTCCCCCCCCATTCAAACATCATGTTTCACTGTATCAATGGAGGGAGCCATGGTTTTAACACTGGCTGTGCTTTAGACTTGTCTGCCTTTGTTCATCTCTATTGCATGGTGAATTGATGAGATTAGTAGATTACATAAGTAAGATAAGGACTTTTTTTCCCGCTAACAGGAAGGGACAAGTACACTGCATTTCTGGTAAGATCAACAAGTATTTTCTGTACCTGCTGTACGTGTTCTTAGTCTGAAAAATAAAGATAATGCAACCATCATATATAAGGACTTGTAAGCTGCAATATAAAATGTTTTTAGGTTTAGACACACCTTTAGAAACCACCAAAAACCTATTAAATTTGGCCTTCCCCATGGACTTGATGCATTTCGGAAAACATGCATAAAAAACACAAACACAAAACACACCCAAGTAAATATAATGTCTTTCAATGATTAAAAACATCATTAAAATATCATTACATTATTATATATAATTATTATATTGATATATAAATTAGACAAATTGCAGAAAAAATGTGCAATGTTGCAAGAGAGACTGAGTTACGGTATAAAGTACTTCAGTCTCCAGACTAAAAAAAAAAAATCATAATGTTAGCTGTTTTACCACATCACAGAAAGTTATGACTTAACCACTTCTATTGAGCTTTGTCCACTTCAGAGAAGCCACAATTACTTTATCAAGCAACAACACTCCTCCTCCCCTTCCCCCCAACTCCTTTTCTTTTCTGCTCTAATTCTCCACTGCCTGGAAATGGAAAAATGGTGATCATGGAAGGTATTAACATATGAGATATGCAATGAAAGCTTATCATGTGAGCCCTCCAGCCTCTTGTTAGTTAAGTGTGTTTTTTCCTTCCCACGAGTCTGCTTTAAAAGAGAGCTCCAGCTTCCCTCACTTCTTAGTCCCTGACAATAATTTTTGAAAGAAATATTTATACATACTGTACATCCTTTCAATCTTTGACTAGGTGCGGTGACATCACAGGTCATCTCTCTTATTCCTCTGCAAAACCAGCAGGCGATCTGTTCTCCCAGACCCGGGAATCAAATGAATTGGGTTGGATCAGTTATTCTCAAACTTTTTGCCTTCAGGGAACCCTTGGCAACATGACTGAGATCTCGGGGTACCCCTAAAAAAAAAAGGTCACATCTACAGCGCACGGAACATTGGATCTGTTCAGCGAGCTGTAGATATAACAGCAATTAAGAAACCGTATCAAATAATAGATTACATATTAAAAAAACTTACCTCCTTAATGTGAAACTTGGGCTTGATTTCTTCTGCACAGATGCTCAATTTTGGGTCGAACTGGAGATAAGCACACACAAATTTTATTTCATTCAACTGAAATTAAACAATTTAGTTCCTTGCTCTTGATGCTTGTTAACCACATGCTGCCCAAGCCACTGTAGAAATATGGTGGCAGGGCGGCACGGCTGGGCAAAACCACGTTTTAAAACGTGTGTTTTCAAAACAGGTAGGAGGTGCACGCGAGGCACGCTGCCGCCCTACCTGTCCCGCCGATCACGGCCGCGGATGTCAGTCGCCGGGTCACAGCCGGTCGTTACTGGCTATGTCCCGGCGATTAGCGGCAATCAGTGACAGAGAGCACAGCTGCAGTAGCTGTGCTTTCTGTCAGTTCCCTGACAGCTCCTGACACGCTGATCGGGACAGAAGAGTTTATCTGTCCAGATCAGTGTGTCTCCGTCCAGCACACACCCCCGCCCCCTAGTAAAACACTCCCCTCACACAGTTAACCCTTTCACTAAATGATAAAGTTAACCCCTTCCTCCCCAGTGCCATTAGTACAGTGTCAGTCTTTTTTTTTTGCACTGATCACTGTATTGGTGTCACTGGGGATGTCAGTGACTCCAAGTCAGTTCCCCCCCCAGTGTCAGAATGTCTGCCGCAGTCCCGCCATAAGTCGCTGATCACCGCCATAAGTCACTGATTGCCGCCATTATTAGTATAAAAAAAATTAAAAATCCCAGTATCTTTCCCGCCATTTGTAAACGCTATAACTTTCATGTAAACCAATTAATTTACACATATTGGTGTTTTTTGTAGCAAAGACATGTCGCAGAATGCATTTTGGCAGAAATTTATGACTAAATTTGATTTTTACATTTTTTTTTACTGGACATGTTTTATAGCAAAAAGTCCAAAATATTGTTTTTTTTCCTCAAAATTGTCAGCCTTTTTTTTTATAGCACAAAAAATAAAAAACGCACAAGCAATCAAATACCACCAAAAGAAAGCTCAATTTGTGGGAAAAAAAAGGATGTAAATTTTATTTATGTACCATATTGCATGACCGCGCAATTGTCCGTTAAACTAGTGCAGCGCTGTATAGCAAAAAAAATGGTGTAAATTGCAGTATCTATACCATAGTTTGTAGACGCTATAACTTTCACACAAAGCAATCAATATATACTTATTGGGATTTTTTTTTACCGAAAACATGTACCAGAATACATTTTGGCCTAAATTTATAACTAACTTTGAATTTACTATATATTTTTTATAGCGGAAAGTAAAAAACATAATTTTTCTCCAAAATTTTAGGTCTTTTTTTGTTTATAGCGTGAAAAATAAAAAACGCACAGGTGATCAAATACCACAGAAAGAAAGCTCTATTGCAAAAAGAGGCCTGGTCATTAAGGGGGGTAAATCCTCAGGAAGGCAAGTGGTTAAACAGGAAAAAGCATGCTCACACATGTAGGAAGTAGAAAACTGCAGCAAAACATTTAAAGCCTTTCTGTAAATGGCAGGATACTCTTCTTTGACTGAAATCCAGAATTTGTCCAAGGATACATCATCAAACCTCATCCTGAGGGTACGATCAGAGTGCAGATCACAAATTTCTTCCTGTTCTTTTAAACTCAAGTCCTCTGACTGAACAGAAGACTCAGAGAAAGGGCTCCTCATCCAATCATACATTTGTGTTGAAAGAGAAGGAAAATAATGTTCAATTTTGCTCTACAGTACATCCAAGTGGCTTTCAATTAGACTTGAAACTTGCTGGTATCCTTCCTCACTTCCAAGGCCAAGCAACATAGGAAACATCTCAGATTTCTTTTAACAACATGGCTTTTCCAAAGATTTAATTTCCTTTTAAACCCAAGTATCTTGTCACTTGAAATCAGGATATTTTGTCCAGAAACTTGCAGAGACTTGTTCAGCAGGTTTACTTGATTAAAAATGTCAGCCAGTTTCTGCAGCCATTCTTCATCTTCAAAGCACTGAAAAATCTGACCTACGAATTTCTTGAAAGTACTCTTTTAGTTCTTCTTTCAACTCAAACACTCTGTGAAGAACTCGTCCTCTGCTAAGCCACCTGATTTCTGTATGTAGCAAGAGAGTTGCGTGTTCCTTCTTCATGCTTTCACAAAGTTTTTGAAACATTCTTGAGTGAACTGGTCTTTGTTTAATAAAGTTCACCATTTTTGTTGCGGCATCCAGAACACTTTTCAGTTCTGCGCCAAGAGTTTTGGACATGAGCACTTCCCTATGAATAAAACAGTGTGTTGTAACAACATTAGGGTTTTCATTTTTTACAAGTGAGGAAAAAGTCTTTCATGGACCGGACCATTGATGGGGCACCGTCAGTACAGATTCCAACACAATCATTCCAAGACAGGCCTTGTGATTCCAGATAGGCAGACAAAACATTAAATATATCTTGACCCTTGGTTGTTTCAGGCAGCTCTTTGCTTTTTTTTTTTTATTTCATCACTTTTTCAAAATGTACAAATGCTTCAAGATGGTATGCATTGGTGATATCAGTGGACTCATCAACCTGGATAGCGAAGCAGTTTTTTTTTCAGGATATCACACAAGACCTCTTCCACATCATGTGACATGTCATCAATACGCCGACTTATTATACTGTCTGAGAGTGGAACCTTTTCAGTTTATTTTACTGCAGCTGCTCCTAGCATGTGATTTACAATAACTTTGCATCCTGGCATTATTATATTCTCACCAACTGTGTGACTTTTTCTTTTCTGGGCAATAATTTCTACCACCAAATAGCTTGCTTCCTGAGCCTTTTTACTAATGGAGAGATTTTTTAACAAAAGCTGTACTGTGCTTGCTTTGAGATTCCAATAGCCGTTTCAAATAATCAGCACCTTTAGATACCAAATGACTGTGGTTTGAAGTAAAGTGTCTTTTCAGTTTTTGCTGAAGCCATTGCTGTATTTGTAAATTGTTTGCCACTGATAAGGAACAATGGAATTGGACAATGTGGATCACCTGTCCATGAAAACCCATAGCTAGGTAACTTTCACTGTACAGGCGGACTTCTTTGGGGTCAAGTACTGTGCTGGTGCATGCAAAGGACTCAGAATGTTGTAATTCTTCCTTACTAGCCTTATCAGAATTTTCTGTAGTAGAAGCTGAAGGTGTACTATCCTCCTCTTGTACCTCACTCCTCCTCCTCACAAACTGCCACATTGGGCCTTGAGCCATTTTGTTTTTAACACAACTAATAAAAAACACAATGGTATACTTCTGTAAGTCAACCACACTATCACTGGTATCAGCAACTGTGCATTAAATAGCAAACGTCTTCCTGCAATGCAATTATTGTACATAGCTGGTTCTCAGTGCTAAACCTACACTGCAGTGCAAAAATGTCAACACAGTTGAAAAACCCAACCTATCTGCTCCTATCTCTGCAAGGGCACAAATGCAATTTTTTTCTGTGTGCATAAGCACAGAACAATGTGGAGGTCATCGCGGCAGAGTACAATGTGTCCTGTTCACAGCACAACACTGGTATCATGTATGCCACATTTTTTTCTGCACAGAAATCTGCAACACATATGCAGGTTTCTGATTAAAAAAGCAGGAAAAAAATCACAATACAGCAGTAATATGGTGTGAACAGGACACATAGTAAACAAAGGAGTTGATTTCGTAAAACTGGAGAAAGCAAAATTTTTTGGTGCAGCTCTGCACTGAAACCAATCAGCTCCCTGTTTTTTTTGTCAAAACCTAATTGAACATGCTGAAGGTAGAAGCTGATTGGCTACCATACACCGCCGCACCAGATTTTGCACACTCTCCACTTTTACTAAATCAACATCAAAGCATCATTGCATTGAGAAAAACTCCCCACCATGTAGCGCAGTACTTACAAAAGTTCTTGTTGTTCTGTCAACTGTGTGCACTCCTGGTTTGGAACTATTGCTTCCTGTAGGTAGGTTTCAGCCAAGTCCTGAAGTTGCAGTGTTGTCCCCTGTAACACAGTTAGCCCTGCTGAAAGTAAAAAATTGGTCATGTTCAAAGGACAGAAGGCACAGTGCAGTGGGGAGGTCACCAGGTCACAGTACGTGGAGAGGTGAGAGGGGGTATTGTTGAGGGTGGAGAGGTGGGGGGTATTGTTGAGGGTGGAGTGGTGGGGGCATATCGTTGAGGATGGAGAAGTGGGGGATATTGTTGAGGGTGGAGAGATGGGGGGTATTGTTGAGGGTGGAGTGGTGGGAAGGGTATTGTTGAGGATGGAGAGGTGAGGGGTATTGTTGAGGGTGGAGAGGTGGGTGGTATTGTTGAGGCTGGAGAGGTGGAGTGTATTGTTGAGGGTGGAAAGGTGGAGGGTAATGTTGAGGGTGGAAAGGTGGGGGTATTGTTGAGGGTGGAAAGGTGGGGGGTAATGTTGAGGGTGGAAAGGTGGGGGTATTGTTGAGGGTGGAGTGGTGGGGGGTATTGTTGAGGGTGGAGTGGTGGGAGGGGTATTGTTGAGGGTGGAGAGGTGGGGGTATTGTTGAGGATGAAGTGGTGGGGAGGTATTGTTGAGGGTGGAGTGGTGGGGGGTATTGTTGAGGGTGAAGTGGTGGGGGTATTGTTGAGGGTGGAGTGGTGGGGGAGGGTATTATTGAGGGTGAAGAGAGGCAGAAAGGGGGGTAATTGAGGGTGGAGAGGGAAGTTATTGGCCCGCACTACATCACTCAGCAGCCTCGCCCCCTCCAAGAAGTTCTGCAGCAGCTGAAGGAAAGGAAAGCCCATGCTATCAGCACAGGCTGAAAGGGCCTGCCCCGCCCCTCCCATGTGCTCCGACATCTCTCTGTCCCCTCCTGTACTTTGAATTACTGCACTGGACTCTGGCTGTGTTGAGGCAGTACAGAGTGCAGGGGGGGCAGAGAACCACTGGAGCACATTACACAGTGCAGGGGGAGGCAGACAGCCACTGGCTGTAAAATAGATCAGGTCAGAGCTTACCTTCTAACTGAGCCACGTGTTCCTGCTCGGTCAGTACTGTCATATACAAGCTACCTCCGTCTTTGGCTCCCGCTCTTTGCACTCCTTCCTGCTCTGTCCCCTGACTTTATAGAAGCCAGAACTATAGAGGAATCATTGGGTATTCATGCGTGCTGACAATACTGACTATCAGCGCTCCTTATGCACAGCATTGAAAATACATTTGGCGTATACATCCACCATAATTTAGATTTGTCACCGGACCCCAAGGGACTTCTTGCGGAACCCTAGGGTTCCATGGAACCCCATTTGAGAAACATTGGATTGGATGATGCTAACCAGGAGTGGTTAGTCTGCATGGGACAGCGATAAAGAGAAGGAAAGTGTTGACAGCTGCTTATTGGCATTGGAATTTTTTTTTTTAAACAAAAATTGAGTTCTGCTTTAAATATTGTGGGGTAGGATAGAAATTGTTTCTAGGGATTAGGAGAAGAAATGGTATGTGACTCATGACCTGCCACTTTTTGTTTCTTTTACTGAATGTGAATTGTTCCAGTGTGTGTCTTATGAACCTGCTGTTTTTTCGTTCTTTAAAAGCTAATAGCTTTTCCTCAAAGTGTGCCCTGTGCTCAAGAAAAAAAATGACTGTCCTTACAGATCAGACATTCAAGAGTATGAATTATTCTGATAATTAGGATTTCAATTTTGTGCTATGTGTTGTCACTTT